ATTTTGAACCACATGTTGGTGAATTCTTAAGTAGATAACTTTCTCAACAACTTTAGAAAAGGATATTAACAAAGATATTGGTCTGAAGTTTGCTATATTTAGTTTATCTCCTGATTTATAAATAGGTTTCACATTTGAGTATTTTAATCTGGATGGAAAAATACCTTTTTTCAAGGCATTAATTACATATATAAGTTGGTGAGGAGACTATATACGGGGAACTCCATTTCAAAATTTTAACTGAAATTTCATCGTACCCATGGGAATTTTTTGTTTTAATGATTTTATAATCTTACGAATCCCCTGGGTTGATGTATTTACAAATTTAATCCTATGATAGGCTCATTCTGTATTTTGAAGACTATTTATAGCAGTTGTCTCATTTATATTTAGACCTGTTATTTCATCAGCTATTGACGAAAAATATTTATTAAAAATACTTTAGTGAATATAATTGCACATGAAATGGTACAGAATGGAACATAAATGGTGGGGAAGAACTGTTCCTGCACACATCAGTATACTAGAGCTCTCTGACAGATGGGAAGTGACTATGGTGGGAAGCATGTGTTAAAACTTGTTTCTACACAACTACAGTAGCAAACCTGTACACTCTAATGGCTAGTGACTTTTGTGCCACCCTTTTTATGGGTACTTGGCTTTGGAGCTGTAGAAATGGAAGTATGTGTGGACCAGTGACAATCAGTGTTTAGAAATGGGAGACCAAGAATGTATTTCTGGTCCTGCCAGGTCTCCATAACTAGTGACAAGATTGTGGTTATGTTTGATGTCGGGGAAGGGTTTGTCCTGAAAAATTGTCATGCATACCATATTTGTTTCATATATCATCAGGAATACTCAGTACAAGTATTGAATGTGGGTTGGACAGCTGGGGTTTTGATTACCAGAAGGTGTAGATATTTTTTCCTTTGTCATGTCCGAACCAGAGCTGTGGGGCTACCCAGCATGCTCCAGTGGGTACCAGGGGATCCATTCTCATTACAGATTCTTCAAATATTGGGCATGATGCTAGTTTGTTGCTTTGTGTGTGTTTTTTTTTTTTTTTTTTTTTTTTGTTGGTTGACATTATGAAATTGCGCGTGATGCCAGTGTCCTGTTGGAAATGGGACATGCTTATGTATTTCACTTTGAGAGTAATTTTTAATCAGATTAGCCAACAAAGGTTATTGAAGCAATACCTCAGTGTATAGAGTAATACCATTCAAACTGTAATGATCCCCCCCCCAACCCAGAAAGAGATATTACACTCAAGAAGGAACACAAATCCAAACCAGCCACCTAAATTATATACAAGGTGTGTCCCAAAAGTCATGAACTATATTTCTTTCCCATGCTCCTACTGGTCGGAGCGCGCTGGAACCGGTTGGGTTAGGGGGGGGGGCTTTAGCTTCACAGCGCGCCCAAGGTCAGTCTGCTCGAGCATCGGAGGCGTCAGTATCGCTAATTTAGCGCACCTGTGTTTTGTGACCACGTCACGGCACTCGATGGCGGATACTTTCGAACAACGTTGGGCGGTCAAGTTCAGCACAGAGCTCAACAAAAAAAGCTGCCCAAACTCACGAACTGCTTAAGGAAGCCTACGGGGAGTCTGCTCTGTCATATGTGCAAGTTACAAGGTGGGTGAAGGAGTTTAAGGAGGGCCAGGAAGGAG